AGTCAGATCCTGACATCACCCAAACCTAATGCTAAAAGTGAATACTACATGTCCAAGGGTAGCTTTATATCACAAACGAACTTAAACGTTCCATTGCTTCCTTGATCTCGTAAATGTAGTGGCGCTCCTACAATCTTATCATTGGCTCAATCAGATCTAATCCATCTGGGGAAATCCATAAACCAAACTGTTAGTTTGCCATGCCCTCACTGCTGCACCCGAAATGGTGGGTACCACTATTCCTTCTGCGATCTAACAACACTCCCATGCTATTTACCAACCTAGTGAATGTTACGACTACACCCACAATCTTACAATACTCTAGCACTATCTGGTTGATAGTGAATGCTATGGCTACACCTGCAGTCGTACGACACTCTAACACTATCTAGCTGCTAGTAAATGCTACAGCTACACCCGCAGACTTACAATACCTTCTCACACTATCTGGTTGCTAGTAAATGTTACGGCTACACCTGCAGACTTATAACACTCTAACACTATCTAGCTGCTAGTGAATGCTACGACTACACCCACAGACTTATAACATCTTAATACTATCTAGTTGCTAGTGAATGTTACACCTACACCCACATACTTAGAACACTTTCTCACACTATCTAGCTGCTAGTGAATGCTACCACTACACCTGCAGACTTACAACACCTTCTCACACTATCTGACTGCTAGTGAATGCTACGGCTACACCCGCAGACTTACAACACTCTAACACTATCTTGCTGTTAGTCAATGTTATAGCTACACCCACATAGATAAAACGCTTTCTCACACTATCTAGCTGCTAGTGAATACTACGGCTACACCCTCAGACTTACAACACCTTCTCACACTATCTGGCTGCTAGTGAATGCTACGGATACACCTGCAGACTTATAACACTCTAACACTATCTAGCTGCTAGTGAATGCTACGACTACACACGCAGACTTACAACATTTTCATACACTATCTGGTGGTTGATTACTAATCCAAACGCATCCAATGTCGAGCATACAAATGACCTACCATCCCAAAATGAACTCTTGTCCTGATTGGAATCCCCAACTTGATTCCCTAAGGCCTGCTATCATGTGACCCTGCTACATCATCACCGTACCCATGCCTATGATCGAAGCGTCACAATAAACCACAAAATCATGTACACCCTATTGCAGGGTGAGAACTGGTGCCTCGCAAAACCACTGTCTGAGCATCTCAAAGGATGTTTGCTGCTCAGGCCCCCAACAAAAGGCCACCGACTTCTTGGTCAGTCGGGCCAAAGGAACTCTAATCTTGGATAAGTCCTGGATAAATCTCCGGTAATGAGATGCAAGACCCAGGAAACTCTGAATCTCAGTTGGAGACCTCAGAATCTCCCACCGCATCACAAACTCTATCCTGGTCGGACCGACTACTATACCCTTTTGGTTGACAAGGTGCTCAAGAAATTGCTCCTCGTGTAACCAGAACTCACATTTTTAGAACTTTGCAAAAAGTCTCTCCCTCCTCAAAGTCTCTAGCACCTCCCTCAGGTGCTGCTCGTGTTGCTCCTCAGTCTTGGAATAAACCAAAATAACATTGTACTTTCCCAATCCCGCAATTGCTGCACCAAATTTTGCCATGAAGGCCTCTCAAAAGTTGAGATGAAAACTTGTGTCTCCTCTTGAGACGCTTCAATATAAGAAAATGATCTAGTTCCCTCTTCCCAATGTGCTCCAAGGAAATATATCGCTCTCGTGCACTAGAAGTCTCTCATTGAGGGTCTTGCACCCCGAGTTACTCACGATCTCCCTGCTATCATTCTGCAGTATGTCATGATACTTTATATTATACAATTCCTCATCTGATGCATATATGGCACCAACTAAGCTCTCTCCTAAGACTTAGTAGTGATCTATGCCACAGTCTCAGTAGTGTGGCGGAGATCTAACAACTCTCACACCATCTATTACGCCTGAATCGCCTGGGCAAACTCTTCCTGGAATCTAGTCGAAAAGTCACCCTGTGACATAAAATCAACTGCATCATCACCCAACTCAATACTAACCTCTTTTCATCAATCCCATGCTTTGTCTTTCAGGAGACAGGAAGTTAGTCGGATCTTGTCCCATTCGGGCAATGGCTGGTACGAAAAGCATTGGTGACATCTACCAACCATCTGCTGCTAGCAATGGGATCCCATAATCCCCATGATAATCAGGAGCTTCACAAACTCTGAACTCCCGAAACATCAACGTACGTATCCCTATCATGACTGCCATCTTTGTGCGCAATGCACTTTGCCTCTCATCACAAATCTTTAACCTGCCCTCTCCGATCATACCAAAGATCATAGGAGTCTGGTAAGCGATACAGTGCATAATCTCAGATGGAATGAACTCCCTTATCTTATCATCGAGCTACCCGGCTACAAAGTCCGAGCCTGATCCCTCGTCGACACCAGAACCGCCTTCTGGTCTACCATGTAGCGTCACCATACGCAGAAATATACCATGACAATCATCATAATACTCGTCAAAGCTTGAGGGATCTCATACACTACAAATTCCCTAGTCTTATCTGAACCTTCCTTGATTCGAGTATGGATCCTCCACTTTCAGTAGTATAGGCCCATACTACCTTCCATATATA